TTTCTTATTAGATAGTCAAAGTCAAATCAGTAAATCGTAGATCAAGTAAACTATTAAAACAAGTCTGAATTATTATCCCAAACAAAGTAAATAAACATTTAGCAATTTGGGGGCGATGTCCTCACTATTAAGAAGATTCGCTTATGCAGATGTTTGAAATACAACTTGAACGAATGCGTGTTCCTGAATTTGGTTATTTCACAAACATATCGGTCAACGGGCGACAAATCAAATGTGACATATTTGGTTCGCTATAAACAGCTAGCAAAAAAAGGCGTATTTGTCAAACCCCAGAGATGTGATATTCACAGAGGAAAACAATAAATCATTTTACTCCATATTGACACTATTTTAATAGGTATTTTCTATATGAATTGTATTTTGAATAAAACAGCATATTCACCTGCGGAAAAAGTATATTCACCCCGCAAAACGTCATGAGCTTGTACGTGTATAATTTTTGTATAATCGTTTGATGTACAATTGGTTTTGGTAAATAATTGTCACACCTGAATTTGAAACTACCATGAGTATCAGGACGGGTACCACTAGTGGAGCAGGATACCCTCCCGGTGCACCTGAAATACCTCCTGTCTTTGGTGGTGTTGCTAAGTCTTTAGTTTTCTATATAGTGCTTTGTGGACTTGTTTGCCTTTTGTCGTCTATCGCTTGCTTTTGTCAGTTTCTCTCGACTCATGAGTTTAGAATATCTGCTATGTATCTTCTGCCTTTTTACAGAAAGAATAATAATAACTTATATCAGAGACATATGAAACCATATTTTATATATTCTGCTTTTAGTATCCGCGAAATTTACATAGACAAGAAAAAATAACGAGTTGGACCAAATTTCGAAAATGAGGTCAATGTTACATGTCCCACCCACTTATTACTTGTAGTAGCTGATCTAAGAATGAAAATTTAAAACAAATATTTGAGATTCATTCAACCATGGACATGAGACCAAAGCTCAGTTTTCAGATTGTTATAGTGTTTGAACCATGCATTAGGGGGTAAAATCAACTGACATATAGAAACGCACAACGATAAGACACCAATTGTGGACCATCTATCTACCTCTTCTAACGTTTGTAGTAAATATATTTACAAGGGTTTAATGTATGGCAAGCCATTTTTATATTTATTCCATTTTTAAGATTACTTATAAAGTTTAAAATATATCTTTTTAACTAAATAAGATATCTTATTAAGTAATTGAGATGTCTTATAAATTAGATAAGATATGTATATAAAGATATTTAATCTCAACTACTTAATAAGATATCTTATTTAGTTAAAAAGATATCTTGGTTATTTTAAAAGATATCTTATAAACTTGATAAGATATCTATAATAAACTAAATACGATATATTTTTAACTAAATCTTATAACCTCAATAAGATATCTCATATTCAAAATAAGATAAATTATTAAGAATAGAAGATATCTTGTATTCTTCGTAAGATATCTTATTTATGTGAAGTTAATAAGATATCTTATAATACTTTATTAGATATCTTATTAAGAATTTTAAAGATATCTTAATTATTTGATGTTATAAAGATATCTTATATAATTTATTAGATATCTTATTTACTTTAAGATATCTTGAAAGTGAACAAATATAAAAAAAAAAAAAGCTTGCCACATAACCACCGGAGCGATGATTAAAAATGTCTTAACTGAAAGACATTGAAAGAATGGTCAGTGAGTTTTTTGATTTACAGCTGTCATTTTAGCAATAAAATAAAACCCTACGAAAATTGTTATCAAGCCTCGTGTCAGCTTTATACAAATGTATAGGAGAAAGTTACATGTTTAATTCTATTGAAAATGGATGTTATACATCCCGTCATTGTGTTGTTTGTATTATTTTTCATTTTTACTTGTGTGCTTTGTCCGTGTGACTTTTTATGTTTCTTTGATACATATGACGTGTCTCTGTACTTTAAACATCCCGCCATTGTGTTATTGTTCTATTATAATTTTTGCATACTTTGAACGACAAAATTATTTTATATCTCTACCTGTGTGACGTTTACATTCTGACGTCAAACACGCGATTTTACGCCAGAGTTAATGTTAAAATTATGATTCGGTCCCAGTACTTAAAATTCCTCGATCCTTTATGGGTTGCTTTGGCATACATAAATAACATACAAAAATAAGTAAGCAATGAACGAGGTTGTTAAATGTGATATATGCTTTTTTGTGCTTCTTTGTTAAATATTTGTTTGTTTTTGTTGTGATTAAGATTGTGACACGGTGTTGACTGCTGTACCCCTCTTTGACATTTTTACCTATTATGTCTGTTTGTTTTATTCACGCATCGTTGTCAGTATGATGGAAGTTGATGCGACTGTCATACCCGTGAGAGGTTTAGCGCTATAAATTTCTTTTTGTATTGTGACATTAACATATCATTGCGTTCTAATTTTTTTGATTATCTAAAAGACTATTTACCATTTTTTCAACATCTTGATGCATTTAATAAACTAAAACACATTCTAAACCCCATCCATGAACTTGTTTGTCATATTGGAGTCTTTATTAAGCAGTCTTTAGAACTGAGGGGGTCAGACCCATGTCAGACAAGCTTATGATTGTGTTTTTTACATAAATTTATAATTGAACTCTTAAAATATGTTCTATTATATTGTATTGTATTACATTGTATTGTATTGTATTTAAAATGTATAATTGTTTGTTTGTATTGCTTGACCCTTATGGGTGTAATTTTGCAATAAAGATTATTATAAAACCAGGTTCAATCCACCATTTTCTACATAAGAAAATGCCTGTACCAAGTCAGGAATATGACAGTTGTTGTCCATTCGTTTGATGTGTTTGTGCTTTTGATTTTGCCATTTGATTAGGGACTTTCCGTTTTGAATTTTCCTCGGAGTTCAGTATTTTTGTGATTTAACTTTTTATATATATATACCCATTGAATGTGTAGCAGGACAATACTCCGCGAATGCATGGTATGGAAGATAGTATAAATTAGGGGTCATAATACAAATGTTTCATATACGAATAAAAGGATGTGTTGTATATCCCTCAACCAGGCATCGACATAACGTCACACGCAATGAGTTTTAATACGCTTAATTTTCCCGCCTGTCTCAATATTGAATATTTCTAAGGACAATGAACTCTCAAACTGAGGTCAACGCAATGGACAAATGGAATCCATCAAGTGCAAATAGTCATGTACACGTAATTAATTATAATATTTTTAACCTTTCTTGTAAAATTTCTGAGCAACACCCTTGATAAAAAAACCAAAACAAATGAGCACTGTAAATAGAATGACGAAAAGACCACCTGTCAGATAACAAATAATGACCTAACAACTGTTGTTACATCGTAACTGAGGATGATAATGAATGACTGTTTACGTCCAGCAGCAAATTAAATGCATAATCAGGACAAGAACATGTAAATGATTTATAAATGTTAACCGGCCTGCTTTGTACTAGACCGACACGCCGCTGAGTCGGATTTTTAACGTGCCTGTTCACAAGGTAGCAGTCCGATGGAAGACATGTCACCCTACCCGGACACATTATTTTGCCACCGAACCGACCAGTCTTTGCTCTTTTTCCTTAATGTCGCGTGTTTAGCGGAGAAGCAGCAAATACCAATTTTAGTCCCTGGTTTGACCCGGCCGGGATTCGAATCCATGACCTCACGCACTCGGGGCGAACATGCTACCACGAGACCACCAAGGCGGTCATCGTCACTGAGGAACAGACCTCATCTGAAAACCTTACCTAACTGACCACTGTAGCGTGAAATTGAGGTCAAAGCCATATACGAATCTTCGTAAACAGAACACATAACACATATTGTTGACCTACAATGTATATTTACGTAGGAACACTTCTCATCCTGGTAACTTAACCAGACAACTGGAAAGTGAAATTGAGGTTGAGGGCCCATGCATATGTCAGATGGACATCACATGCAGTCATCACAACCTTTACACAAACCTAACATTGTTGACCTGCTATGTATAGTAACAAAGTTTCGTCATGAACCCTCCATACCTTGCATTGATGTAAATTGCTAATTCTTATAATAACACAAGAAAATGGATCCAGGTTTCAACTTCTATTTTCAGTGCAGGCAAGAGAAAACCCCAGATATGTTATTTAGAAGTCAAAATTTTGTCTTCAATAATAGATTAGTGTTCATACTATGTCATGTTCTAAAATGTCTAGTCTTTAAAAATACTACACTCATAAGTACCTTATTTTTGAACCTTGTGTAAAATAAATCTGACTGGATTAAGTTACAATGAACTGCAAATGATTATGTTAACAAGAATGATTCAAGATATGACAAATGACCAGAAGAAATTTTTTTCACATCTATAATGGGAGATTCTTTGATAATTTACAATTCTTTTGACTATTCATACTAATTTTCCTGATGAATTAAAAAAAAATTAGGTAAAGCTTCTTTGCCAGATGCATAAAAATAATGTTTTTAACTTTTGAAGGTAAAATATCCTCTATATTTTCTCATTCTCCATTTTGAAAGAATAATCAAAGTTTATGGGAAGGTTGAGTATCTCACTTTCAATTTCTTTTTCATAGCAATTCCCTTTGTTCATGAATTAAATACTTCCGAGTTTTGAGCTGATGCAAATTTAAACTGAACTGACATACCCTGCATTTTTTCAGATCATATCTCTTTTTGTAGCAAACATAGTAATCTCAGTCTATTACTTAAACGATCACTTTGCACTCCACATTTAAGTCTACCCCTCTCCATAAATTCAGTAGGCTTACACAATTCTCGGCAGGAATGAATTCTTTCCCTCTAATATAATCTTCACTCTGTGACTGAGGGGATACTAAATTTTAACTTATTCATAATCAGCATCTTGTATTTCATTTCAGTATTGTATTAGAATTAAGCATTTTATAGTGCAAAAAAAATGTTCTGATATTGATGATGGGTCTATTTTACTTAAAAAATAAATAAACTATTCAATTTTCATGTTTTATTTTGCATAGATAATTTTTGACATCATATTTTACAATTTTTACACAATAAAAAATCACAGTCCAGCTGGTTTACATACAAAATTGGCACTTTAAAAAATATTTACAAATAAATATGACTAAGAGAAATATTCTCCAGTCAGGATTTTCAAAATGAATTATCTCCCTTCTCACACTCAATATTGGATACATTGCTAAAACAAGGTTTGCTCAAGTTAATCGTGCATATCAACAACAAAAAAACAACAAAAAACAAATAAGAGATTCAAACAACAGAGTACCCTGTTAAATGCTCAAATGTAAACATCTCTAACATATAGTATGTACATCGTCATCTATCAAGTGCTGGTTAAAAAACACGAGTTATGAAGACAGCAATTTTGATTGCCTTTCTGTCAAAATTTTTTACATCAAAATTGTGAAGAATATCAAGCAAGTAACAAAATTATTACCTTTGTATGTAAAAATGTGCAATGGAAAAAAATGACAAATAACTAACTTGAAAAAATTCTCTTTTGTTCAAAAAAAAAAACAACAAGCAACTGTTTATATTCTGTTAATAAGTCTAACATTTCATGTTGATAGCACCATTGTAACTAGTATTGCACTTCTAAACATATGACAATAATCTCAAAAGGTTGACTATATACAAATTATGATAATGAACATATGAACACTTTCTTTTACATAGATAACATCAATTTGGTTCTAGCAATGCACCAGTTCTAATCCGAATCTCTCTTAGCAACTCTCACACTGAAAGACAATGGTGTCATTTTGTTCTCTCCATACATTCAATAAATTAACCAGTAAAAAACAATAATATTTCGACCAAACAAAGTCAATTGAATCAAAAATAGACATGACTTATTTCAAACAAACGACAAAGCTGCCAAAGTCAGACACAAAACTGCCTGAATCATTATGGCTCTTAAAATCATAGCAGTCATAATTTGGTTATGTTCTAAATATGGAATTCTAATATGAAGAAAGTTGACAAGATATTAGTAGAAGCAATCAAATATGTATGGTCTACAATGATGATTACTGAAAGCAGATCAACTGCCTCAGTCAAAGCTCTTTATATGAAGTCAAATACAGAGAATTATGATCTTTTTTTTTTGTGCGTCTTGTGAAGAGGTTATGATACTTTGTATAGGTTATGATACTTTGTATAATATTACTTCCAAGGGGGTAAATATGTGTGGGTAAGAGGTAAAGGTCATTTTGATGTTTTCAAAAACCTTCATATTAAACTCACATCAGAAGTTGCCTTGTTTTGATCATATGAATATTTAAATGAAAGGATTTCCATTTTATTTTTAACAAATAAAATACAGGCAAAATAAAATAATTTGAAGTTGTTAAAAAAAAATTTAATGTTAGATCAGAGCTATTTTTCATTAAAATTATGAGGATAAAGTCATTTCATGGAATATTAATATTAAATTTGGTGTGAAAGAAAACTCCCCCCCTATTATATAATATATTTTATGTAAGACCATGTAAACATTTCCCCCTATATTTCATCAAATATAAAGGACTATGAAAGTAAGGATATGAAATTCAAGGCCCTTTCACAAAATGGAAAACCTTTCACAACTGACTCCGAAAAATGATATTTATATTCAAAATAGCTTTAAACTATGATTAAAAAGTTTGTTTTTCAAACATATTGAACTAATAAAGCATTTAACATTCCTATAAAATGACATATGAAATGGTGATACCTGATTTTAAGAGCAGGTTAGCTCTTTTTTTTATTATTTTAAATGAATATTAAAATCATGACAGCTCTAAAAAAAAAATGAAGATTTTTCCTTTATCTCAAATTTTTAAGTGATGCATACTTTTTTAATTCAATTCAGATAATGGAGCAGCATTTAACTTACAAAAATTTAATAGACCACAACTTCCAAAGAGAAAAAAGAAACGAAAAACTTCAAAAGTGTCTTCAGTAATTAAAAGTTTATAGGTCACCTAGTCCTTGAAAACACTCGATGTCTATGACTTAAGATGAATCCTGCTAAACTTTCAATTATTAAAGTCTTGCATGTTTACAAGACTTGTCTGTTGTTCCAAATACATAAGCTTATTTACAAAAAAATATAACTGAGAGTACAAATTTGCAGTCCCAGACGAAACAAAATATGCTTACGAAAAAAGAAACAACATCAAAACTATTCTTAAAAATAACAACCATAGGTCTTAATACAAGTAACAGATATAGCACTAATTTTAAAAGATGCCCTCAAGAAATTTGAGTCCAATGTCCACAAAACAAGAAGAATCTTGATTCTTGATTTCAAATAAATCTGCCATTCTATCTCTCCTTGTTCACACCTGCCATACTTTCTCTCCTTCCTCTTCAGAAGAATCATCTTTATTCTGAAAATCACAAAAAGAAGAAATATTCAACATAAGGGTAGAAAATGATTCATTAAATAAACAACCTATATGAACATCAAACATTACAAAATTTGCAGTAATTCAAACTCTACAGAAACTGAAGCCCTTGTGTGTTTACCATTTCTACGGAATTGTGGAGTCTACTTTAAACATCAGCTGATTCACACTTCATTTACCATGAATTTTCTAGACAATATTGATATTTGAACTTTTGTTCATAATCTTAATATTGTGTATAAAGGTTTACTAAAATGACTTCCATTTTCATCACATCAAGTTAGATCATAACCTGATTTTGCATCAGAAGTTGGAAGCTTTATTTGATTTCAATTTTGGCTCTTAAAAAACATTTTCATTAACTTCGAAGAACTGGCCCCGATTTAAGAATACACAAAAATTCAGCATATCAGTATTCTTAATTGATCCCCTAATTTTTGTATAAAGCATGTAAAAAGAATTAGTGAACATATTTTTTGTGGCAAATTAAAATTTTGCAATTGAACATTGATTTTTTTTTTGTATTTTAACTGACACACACACATATATATAGGTTTCACAGTCTGAAAATGCTCATTACCTCTAAGTGGATACTATCAAACTTGTCTTTCAAATCATCATCTAGAGACATTGCTCTCCCTGTTTCTAATGCACTTGTACTACCTGAAATCAGTGGAAAATTCCATTACTTATCTATTATACACCTGCTTAGGGGAGAATAATATTTTAAAATAAATATATCTGACACCTGTAATTTCTCACGAAAGAAAAAAAATGAGAATATTTCCTTTAGGCCACACATGATAAATTACAACTCCTTTTGACTTCAATTACAAGCCAGGAAATTTTATATACTCATAAAAATGAAAAATGGCTTCTTGTCCTATACAATTAAATATTCATTTAATTTTTTTACCATCAATTTGGACAAATATGCAAGAATGTGATAATGATATACATGTATTATAGAAAGGTATAAATTATACATCATTTTACTTCCTTCATATCCATCAAATTGTACAAACATTTCTCATTATTAATCTAAAATCATTTACACATTCACAAAATGTAAAACAAAATCATTGTTACTCATCTTTCAAAAAATATAAAAAAAAAAATTTTAAAGAAAGGAAATGTCATTCTTCAGACAGCAAATATTAATTTTTGTTTTATACAAGTTACTTCTGGGTCAATGCCAAATGACTGTTGAAATAATGATTCAATGACCCATCTTGGTAATATGGATCCCTGGCAACTAACCACATATGTAAAGTTGGTAATTTTACATCCCAAAAGGTACATTACAATAAGGGTCTTCTTCTACTATGCATTTAAACTGATATCTACATGTATGTATTCTGACAGATAAAAAATCAAACAAATTCAGTACTTTCAATTTCACGAAGGCAAACTGTCAGTAGATTTTCTGAGATGGAACTTTCAAAGATTAACCAGATATGTGTCATAGATTTGAAATAATTACCTGTTTTAACATGTCTTATTGTTGCATATATACTGGAAGGCATATCAAACTGGCGACTGAGTGAACTTGTCATGGAAGGACGAGGAGAATGCTGTGGAGAGCAAGATAAAGTATGCACACTACTACTTCTCATCATTGGGGATCGCTGAAATACACGAATCATGGCATCTTTCTCAGCAAGCTGTGTCTGAAGTGCTTTCACCCTATAAATTAAACATAAAAATGCTATATATTATTTTAAAATAATTACAGTAAATTTAATGCAAAATGATTGTGTAAATACAACATGGAAAATATAAAACTACAAGCATATTAGTTAACTTTAAAAAAAAGTATCTTTCGAGACTTTTTCTTGAGAGCTGTTTCTGAAATATTTTTAAGGGGATTATGAATGGCTCTAGCTTCTGCCCTAACCACTAACACACTTTTAACAGTTAACTCAATTGGAAATATCTGAATTGCCCTGTAAGGGCTATTCCATTAAAATGTATGTGGGAGGGTAGGAAGGGACTTTCAAAATATCCCTACAACCAAGAAACATTTTCTAGATAATTTTGCATAATGGTAATAGACGCATACTGAAAAAAGACCCATGACCAACATTCAATAATTTAACTTCTCTTCCTACCCTCCCACATATATTTTAATGGAATAGCCCTAACCCACATAATTATTTTAATCAGTGTCTTGAAGACCCCAAACTTATTCTGGATCAGTCCTGGTTTTAAAATATATACTACAACAATGAACAGTAATTCAACTAGTTAAAATGATATATATTTTGTATAGAAAGAAAGAATTCCTGCTTATCATATCTCGTACAATATCGGACATGTAATTTGATACATTAAAAGATGTTTAAATCTTGATGCGAAATCATTACCACTATTTTTTTTCACAATCAGCAAATGTTTTATGACAACTTACTTTGCTTCTAGATCTTGCATCTGCTGTTTGTTGTAAACTATTTCTTCCATTTGACGAAGTTTCTCTCGTTTCTCATTCTCTAACTCCATTGTGTTTATAGAGTCACTGTAAAAAGAATAAAAAAATATGACTTTTTCTGCCAATCTTATCAACTTATGTTACATTTTTAAAATGTTTAAATTCTAGAAATATTCATAATTTATTCATTTATAAAAACTATAGATGCAGTTGAAAATCAGGTTGTACAATTTTCTGATATACTGCATCAGTTAAAAAAAAATTGAATTACAGTGAGGATTGTACTGCTTTTGTTCAATATTCGTTTTGCCATTTCAGCATAATACCAGCATTTTAGTGCATTAATACTTCATCTTCAATAATAATTTCATCATGTTTATTTTAATACATAAGAAATGTCTTGCTTTGGACCATAAACCTCAATTGACATGTATTTTATACACCTACATATCTGTACCATCTAGTGAACAATAGAAAATACCAACAACTGTCAGAAATTCCTTCACCTTGACCTCAACTAACGCCATTTTTATAATTCCATATAAACATGAATGATTATTACTCTGATACACATTCCTCAATGACATGTGACATTCATTACACTGAGGGCTAAATGTAACACTTCCAACTGTCGAACGCCCACAGGCACGACATTCATTGAATACGAGGGATTTTCCCCAAAACATACCTAGAACTGCTGTACATGTTTTGTAGTGAAAATTGTCGCAAGGCATTTTCTTCTAAATATTTTTGCTCCCACTGAAAAGAAAAGAAACATAATTTAAAAAAAATATTCAGAAATGCATATGTAATATTGCAATAAATTATAAATTGCCTGAGGGTACTAGAAAACACAACTCTGACAATTAATCAAATATTCCAACATGCAAACTTACTTACTTACTGATGTATTCAATTTATTATATAGCAACTCATCTTCTAAATACACAAGATATTTTTAATTAAACTTGTGTTTTAAGAAAGTGACAATTACTGTTTCCAAGGATATCTTTCAGAAGGTTTATTTAATTTCATTTAACTTTGGGCTGCATAGATATTGATTGTAGGAAGGGGAACAATAAGGAGCTTGAAATAAACAAGTTAAACTGTGAGCTTCAGCTTACTGATAATACCCCGCTTTAAGAAATCGGTTACCAGGAAGTTGATGAGCGCTGAATCTGAAAAAGCATCTCATGGTAAAACATGTTCACAAGATGTCTGATTAAAAATTTCAGGAAGCTCTGATTTATAGACTACTAATTCCAGAGAAAAATTTGATGGGATTTCATTGGATGAATTGGACAGACAGAGGTAAAACAGTATACCCCCCCCCCCCCCCTCCCCCTCCTTCTTCAGAGTGGTGGTATAATAATTTGGTTGCATCTTGCAAAAGAAATGGTTGATGAAAATTTTAATTTGTGTTAGTTGTGTTTTAGAAAAGTCAACAATCCCTCAAACTCCTTTTCAGCAAGGCATTAAATTAAGGAATGGTGCTACATATTCATAGGGTTTGAAACTACTTAATTATGTTGTTTATTTATATCCTTGTGATAAAGTAAACAAATAAGAAATGGATTTTAGTTAACCATGTTATTTGTGGTTTATTGCCACAAAAATTTAAAACAAATAATAGCTAGTGCAATACCAGTGCAAATGAACCCAGAGTAAGCCTTCAATACCAAAAGGTATATTGTTATCTTTAATAATCATCATGTACTGTTTAACATCAAATCATTTATGATGAAATTCTATTTACAATGAATAACTGCTGAATAGAAAAGAACTATTACCTTTATAACTTCTGTTTTGAGTTCTAATATCTTTGCATCTTTTTCATTCAGTAATCTTTGTAAAGAAGATAGATTTGTGGTATCTAAAGTTTCTTCTGACTTCTTTTCTATTGTTTTGGGATCTTTACCCTGCAATAAAAGGAAATAATACATTAAAAACCCAATTTACATAGGCTCATCATTCAGCCTTCTTTTACATTAGTGCACCAGGACCATATTCAATTAGGGTCATACTGTGACAATGTTACCAAATATGCCCTGAAGACTCCTTTCAATGCATATCACAAGATTCTCACATTTAACAACATAATGTAGTTCACATGTAACTTAGAATATAGGGTACTTCAGAAAAATGACAAAGCAATTTTTCATTTCAAAATTTCTAACAATGACAATTTCTTTAAATAAATTTCTTTTGTTGATCGAACTTGTTTTAGTCTGAACTAATGACACATGGGAATATGACATTATAATGGTCGAAGACTCTCTTTTTAAAATATAGTTGATAATTTTAGAAAACATGGAACAATTGTTGGTATATAGCTTTCATTACCTTTATTTGTTGTTTCAGCGTTTCATTTTCTTTTTCTAATCGTGTTCGAAGTTGTTTTTCCATTTGTTCTCTTTTGGAACAAGCTGCTTGTAATGAGGAAAATGCCTTTTGTAAATTTTCTAATCTCTCCATCTGTACTTGTTTTTTACAGCACTACAACATACAGAGACCATTACTTTTATTTCAAACATAAAATAAACACAAAATTAAATTGATTCAAATTTTTAACAAGTTATTGAATATTCCCCCTAGTTTTAGTCCTACTAACAAACTTTAATGTATAAGCATAAGTTCTTCTATAATTGTTGTGTGGTTAAGTAATATAAAAATGCACAAGAAATAACTACAGACCACATGTCTACTTAAATAATACAGTATAAAAAAGTGTTTTTTTCTGTTTAATATTAATATTTTATTTTTGTACAACTGAAATCCTTCCCTTTACTGAAACTTCCTTCATTTTTTATGTGACTTAATCATACATAAGAAAACATACTTTTTATAAAGATGTTGTTTTATCAACAAACATTGTTTTGTTTTTGTTTGCTATTAGTTTGTTTACCTCTTTTTCCAAATGAACAACATTTGCTTGAGCATTAGTTAAGGCATCATCTAAAATGCCATTTTTGTCTTTCCATTCATCAACTTCTCCTTTCAGAGCTACAATTTCCAGTTCATAGTTCTTTTGTGTTGTCTGTACTTCCTTTTCTAATAAAAGAAAGAGACATAACATATGTCAAAAACTTGTTCACAATGTACGTATTCATGTATTTGCACAATATGTACTGTGTGTACAACACCACTCAATGAAAAATAAAAAAATAAAATAGAAGCACAGTGGCATATGAATGGTGAAAGGAAAATTGATTAGAAGAAATAAAAAAAAACAAATAAGTTTACTATTCAATTCTCCCTTTGGTATTGAGGATCTAAATACATATAAATAACAATAAGCAAGATGCAAATAAACCTTTTATTACAGTAAATATAAGTTGAAACATAGAGACCCTCATTGCATCTTGCACAAAAACTGTATATTTCAAAAAAGATAAACTGCAATATCATCAACCAAACTCTCAATATAGATCATTAAATTTTGGCATGCTGCCATTACAATAATGAGCATGTGAAACTTAATCACTTTTATGAATGATCATGAATGTAGGCACTTGAAAAATATTTCTGCTGAGGGCACGTTACATCCTGTCTGGCAGAGATAAATTTCTACCTGTAGGAAAAATATGTCAACATTTAAATCAGATATGGCTGGGTAACATCTACCAAATACACATGCAACTTCTCTTCCAAAATCTACATCTCTTTTCACTCTGAAAAAAACTTTTCACCTTCTAATGAGATTTAAATTAAAGACATCTATCGTGTTAATCATTCAAACACTTTACAGCTACGTACCTGACTTCCCATCAAATGTTGTGTCTGATGATGTAACTTTTTCTGAAGAATAAAAAATAAAATTTATGTGAAAAAGCTATTTTGTTTCTCAAATTTCCATCATAAAATATATTGTTCCGTTTGATTTTCTTCAGCTTTCTTTTGATTTATGTCCATTTCAATCTGACAGATCTTTTTAGAACTAATTTTTGTCTTTACCTTTCTCTATAATTTGCCTAAAGAATTAAAAATATAAACAACTTTATTTTTGATAGAAAGTTGAATTTTTTTATGGCAAATTATCTCAATGTAAGTGTTTTTATAGCTTGTACATAAATTAAAGAACATGTACATTTCATATACATACCTTGTAACTGCTTATTGGATGCGTACAATTTCTTAATTTCTTCTTCATATCGTTTCTTCCTCATATTTTCTAATTTTTCCCTTTTTCTTGATGATTGGACTAAGGATTCATAATCTTCATGAACTTTCTTAATTTCCAATTCAAACTGCAAGTAAAGGAACAAAAAAAATTTAAATCTAAATGGATGTAGCAAATTTTTATTGTTGAAAACTTAACATGTGGTTTAACTTTACCTAGCTATATCTACTTTACCTTCCCATGAAATAAATGAAAATTAGTACCCTACAAATAAGACTTGCACTGTAAGAGTTATTTCCCTTTCATACTGATTTTTTTTATTATTTTGAACTCTTTTGCATTACTTTGAAATACATATATTTGTGTACAAACATGAATAAATCGTAATTTTAAGACAAAAAAATTGATCTTTATCATTTATTTCAAATTATACTGGTTAAATTCATTTCATATAACCTCAAAATTGAAGGTGTATTCTAAAAAAAATCAAGAGAGGTACTGGAAATCCTTAATATTCAAGGTTGGAGGACCACAATTAAATAGCCTGCGGTGATCAAAGCACTGATGACTTCTTTAACTAAAACACAGATTTTTTTTTTAAAATACATATTTTAAAAGTTTATCATAAATAAAATATAAACTATAAATAGATGTATGTTACACTGATAAATTTAAAAGTCACTCATAATAACATTGTCCTAGGACAATTTTTTTTAAAATATACATACCTTTTGTAATATGGCAACTTTTCTATGGTAACTGATAATGTCCTCTCGAAGTTTCTTATTTTCATCTGTTAACATATTTAACATTTTTGTGGTACTTGCTGTTAAGACGCTACAATCTTCCATTTCTGGTAGTAGGACATTTTGTACTGGTAGCCTGAAATTACATTTTTAATAAATATAAGATTTTAGTTATCAAAAATTGTACATATAGTTGGACAGATACATTGTAATCCCGATCTCTTGCTGCATTAACTTTTCTTTATAAAGGCACACAGTGCTATATTTAATGAATTACTTGCTTTGTGTATATTTAGATGTGTAAAATCATTAGCTTTATTAATCTGTTAGCTTTTAAATCCTCGTCATTTCATTAGTAAAGCTGAACATATTATCAAAATTAGATAGTTTTATATTTTGTTTAATACACAGGACATAATGATGTTCAGTTCAGTTCAATAATCACGTTTAAACTCAGCATGGTCAAAAATTTGAAGTCTCCACACTGACATGAAAAAATCCTTACTGAAATGTTAGAAGCTTCAATGTACAATATGCCACAGATGTAGTTTACCAATATAAGAAGTCATATTTTACATAATTCATACAATTTTCTTATATTAAAAGAAAACTAAAATCTGTTTCTTTAATGAAGCACAATTTTAAGCGTTCATTTAATTGAAAAATCGAAATATATTCCGAAAGTGAATTGGATGAACAAAATTGTACCTTGATCCAAAGTCGTTGTGTCCACGTTCAACACTTAAATGTCCACTTCCATGGTGACTTTGTTTATTATGAGCTTCCATGTATCGAGACAGATCTGGCTGCGATCGACATGTTGTCATATCTGTTCTTTCTACAGTTTCATATGACCTTCGGAGTTCATTAGCTTTTGTACCAGGGTACTCCGGAGGAGGAGGTAAATTTACAAAGTAACTCGACTGAAGTTGATTAGGAGAATGTTCTATATTCCAGCTAGGACTAGAATAAATAGGAGCATTCGAAAAAGTCGTCACATTTTCACTACTAACTGACGAATGTTTGATTCCTGTACAAATTCCACTATATGTACTTGGATTTGTTTGCCATTGTGAAACCGAACATGACGGACAGTTTAGATATCCGTTAGGATCTGTTGGGTACGGAATACAGTGTTGTGGATGTCCTGACATATTATAATATGGCTGATTTGTAGTCGGAATAAAGTCCATTGCAGTCTTTGGCATCCCAAGTCTTTCTAATATACTATAACCCATCTCACTAAATTCAGGCTGATGATAAGTTTGTTGTGTAGGAGTTTGTGTTTCCTCCCCTTGTGGTTCTTGTCTCTGTGTTGTTGATAAATTTTCCATAGAAGACACAGATACATCTGTACTAGTTTCACTTCCTGAAAAACTTTGTCTCAAACCTGAAATACACAATATTTGCACTGCTGTTATAATATTCCTTAAGTAAAACGTTAAAACTTGCGTTAAGATATAGTAAGACCACCTCTATATGAATTACATAATTAAATTAAGAATGCTAAAAACATGTAGTTATATATTCCTCGAAAGATAGACAACAAAAAACAAAGAGAAAGATAATAATCTTAAAAAACTTCGCTCATCTTACTAAATTTGAGAAATTTCATACATCAGTAATTTAACTAACATTCATAATGATCTATTTTAAGATTACATATATGCACTAAATATACTGATTAATATTTGTGTCAAGGTGAATCACACATGCCTGTAACATGTCTGCAGATCTAAAATTCAAGTCGAAAAAATTACTAACTTCCATCTACACATAATTATATTAATTTTTATCTTATTAAAATTACACACCTGCTTGTTGGTTATACATTTGTTTAGAATGTCCTGGGTAAGGAGGAGGGTCCCTGTATTGTGTCTGTTGCTGCATGGTTCTCGGTTCTTGTTCTGTGTAAATATAATCTCCTCTCAACATATCTCCTTTGGCTAATTCTACAAACAAACAGTATGAACATGTGTGTATTTAAAAACCATGTCATGTGATTAACAAAACATAACAATTTAAATCTTTTTGTGATTATATTTTGTCAATTGAAGTGTGAAATTCTATCATAATTAGTAACATAGTAATTGGCTAGGTCATAAATCTGTAATGAATTTCATAAGTGATTGAATTTTTGGCTGTGTTTCAATCTCTAATAAATATGTATGAATCATACAAGAAAATATTTATTGCTTGGAATGTTTAGATTATATAAGTCTGTTGTGTCTGTTATCCTAATGAACATCAACCCATCTCAGCATATTTCTGGTTTCATGAAGAAAAATGATCATGATGCCTTCATGAAAACCATTTATTAATTTAATGAGTTTCAAATGCACTTTTTTTGTCATTAAAAATATAACTTTATCTCAATTCATGAAGAACAGGAAATATTACAAAAATCAAATGTCAAAAGTTACAGCAAAAACAGGAAAACACATTTTCTTAACTACTTATAAAACTACATTTATTTGTACATCTTATACATGTACATACATGTACTATACATTTATATTCATAGAACTGTTTTCTGGGTTTAAACCTAACAGTTCTCAAATGTTTGTAATATGTATTCCTGTCATGTCTTCCACAAACATAGAGAGAGGCTACAAAGTTTCAACAAAAATTTACAATTATTTCCCCTGGTCATTATTGAAACAAGGTCAATCACTCAAAGCCATTATTTCTCTTTGAAAATAATTTCTTCTATCAGACTCTGTGGAATTATAACTTATAAAGAACTTAAATTTTTAGCTGTTTGATCTGAAAATAACCCATACTCCTTAAACATCATGAATGTACATGTTCATTTACAGTATAAACAAATTATCAATCAAAAATTGAATATAAACAGTTTAATCTGACCAGGAATAACCATCAATTTGTTCTGTCAAATAATTTTGCTATTGTAAATTGGTTTGATTCTGCCTCAAGTTCTTAATTGTAATGCTACAAGGAATCTACACTGTAGAAATACATTTGTAACTATTGGATTTAAAACTTGCAATATATCATATGGTGGTTTTAGCCAAAGTTTTAGATGTTTTGTAGTACATGGCAGTTTACACTGATAACACTGAAAAATTCTGTTCATTCCACCATCACTATATGACCTGTCGTTACTTATCATTTCGTCACTTCTATGGAATCATGTCCCCCCTTTCAAACATCCTGGATCTGCCCCTGCATATGATTATTTCAAATTTTAATCTACATATATTCGTTGGAAATTGCCTTTAACAGGAGACAGCATGATTCAAAATTTATAAAAAATTATTTGACTTGATCAGCGATTTATTTTTTTAATTAAGTTCATGATTGACACTTAAAAAGATACATGTAGATATTTTAGTTTAATTTCTTGTTTAAAATAAATTTCTGTAAGACTGAAAGTGCATTCTGTATTATGTTGTCCCTAGAAAATAATTCATGGTAAGATACATGTATAACATATTGTCTAATAGACTTTTAAAATAGTAAATTTAGATTTGCTTCATTACGAATAACTCTGACAGGAAAGTGGCTGAAACAGGTTTATATTTTGCATCTACTGTACAATGTACATATGTAATTCACATCTTATTTCAGGGTTTTCCTCAAAATTTCTAGATAATATATGCCATCAACCTTTGGAGATGTACAAATGTATGTACGAAAAAAAAAAAAGATGAGCTAGGACAAACATACCAATGAAACAAATATTCAAGAGATCAATATCTCTTTCTTGAATGCATTTAAAAAGAAGTCATCATGACTTTACCCTGATAAATATGCATGTACATAGTATTTTGCTTAAATTCCAACGTTCTTGATTTAATTAATACATGTAGGCACACATCTAGACTTGAACTGGATAATTATTTATTCATTTATTTACTGAAGAAAAAATGCACATTTATACCCCAAGGGTTTGAAGGCATATGAACAACACAAAAATGTATACACAATGGATAAAATTATATTACAGTAAACAGAAGATGTTTTATTTCCATTAAATGGGCTCACAAAGAGCATATTACACTATGACATTATTTAAACTACAACATAAAACAATAATGAAGTATACATAAAAAAAAAAAAAGAAAAGAACACTTTCCCTTATTTTACTTAGGGATAGCAGAAACATATAATTGTATTATCTCTGGGGAAAGCCACTAATTTAGGGAACTACAAAATTTCGTGTATGTACACATTTCTACAATATTAAAATAAACCATTCGTGTGATTGCGATAAATAAATAAAATCAAAGGAAATTAAAGTGTTGGAACAATCATTGTCTTGTCCCATGTGACCTATCCGACATCCAAAAACACGTTTACCGTTACATTCCTTAAATTATATAGCAGGTGCCCGCGAGTCTATCGGGACATCCCAGGAATTCACGATCATTTTCAGATTTGACAAAGAATTGCACTGACAATCTTAGTCAATATCTAATTCAATACTTACAGTTGTGATATAAATTCATAATTAAACCGATAATTTAAACGCAAATCGTACAAAATAGTAAAGAATGTAGAAGTACTAGAACGTAAACATACCTTCGGACATCTTTTTGTCAGACGTAACACGGAATCATGGGAAATGTGTGTAAGTCACTGAAGCATTTAATTTATTCCAATATGGGATGCCTTGCATTCCACTGATAACGTGCCTTAGAGATAAAATTATTGAAGTAGGACAAAATATTTCTACAATTTTGTTTTATTCCATATTAGGTTACGACCTGATTGTAAACTTAGGAAGTAAATGACAAATGTCAATCATTGGAATGGCAAAATGCGTGATTGTCAATTTGAGAACCGTTATCTAATAAAATTATTAAAATTATAAAATAATCACTTTATCCACTTGGCCCATGAAAGATTTATAAAAAAATATGTAATACTTATTATTAATTATAAACTTGTTTGAGTAAGTAAGACAATTCTGGAAAGAGCAGATTCCAATCCGTACAGATCACGGTGTAAAATTCCCGCTCTGGTAAAGTGATTTTTCTTCTCACTAAAGACGAGACAAATAAAATTTTAAAACTAATTAGAATGTCCATTTTGATTAACTGAACTGAACTATTACATATATAAATACACAAAAATAAAACGATTGATAGCTATATTTAGAATGATCAATCAAAGTTGCATGTAATAATTTGTCCAATCCGAAACCAAAAAATTTCTAGTTTGGATTTTGATCAGATGATCTTAGTTTTAATAGACACAAACATTGTAAAACCGGCAGTTTAAAAGTCCGAACGAATTATTTTCTAACGTTTGGGTCCCTTTTTTATTTATTATTAATTGTGCATATTTTTTTACCAATTTTATTCTTACCGAAAAGGAGACACCCTTCGTTTCTGGAACCCGTCAGTCTTGGACTTTTTAACACGTGATTTTTTTTTATATATATTAACAACAATTTATCCTGTCCAATGAGTCGATAAATTCTATTATTTTACAATATTTTTATATATCTAATACAATAAGGTTTTAAAATTATTTCGGAATATAAGATGCAGACTTTGTTTGAATATATTTGAAAACTTTATACAAACACGTTGTCACACAAACCACAATATTTCTTGTAACATGCATAAGGCAACATTAATTTTGATTTGTCATTAGTAAACATTTAATAACAAATTTATAAGGTTTTACAAATTTATAGTTTCCCTTTTCTGGTCACATCATTTCATTTTGTTTAATTAAACAATTATTTGTGTTAAAATAACTACGGAACCCGTTCTATGTCGATCCCTTAACCTCCTCATCGATCACAACATACTTTGTAATATGGATAAGTATTAAGAATGTATTACTCCAAGCCTTTTCTAACAGCTTTGCAACTGTACCCCTAAAGAAACGAATTTCGATAAGCAAGTTCTGTATTAAAAAAAAACAGTCCTTTATTCATAAAAATAAATCTACTGAATCAATTTCTAGCTGTTTCGTCTTTTTGTTTAGCAGAATAAAGAAATATCTTCAAGCACATTTTTGAAACACATTTTTCCAATTTCTTTTCAAAGGGTACCATTTCAATATGTCCGTTCTGCAAGCGTATATATATGAGAAAAAATGTCGTTTCAAATTTATAGGTATTTTACTAGAAATAAAGGAAAATCACACCTGGTTTAGTTAAGCAAAATTTGTCACTTCAAATTATAAATCAAAAGAAAATCAAATGTTCTTCACTTTTTTTCAATTAGGAAAAGGGATAAGGGGAGTTTTGATCAGTACGTCCGCTTCATTCCCTGAATCCACCCCTTAAAATTCTAACAAAGATGATGCAGTTTACTGCAGTCTGACTTTGATATGGTAGTGCCATCAAGCAACTTATTTGGTGAAGCTAAAGAAAGGTCCAAAATGAAAACTGAAATTGACTCTTTCGAGTATTCTAATGTTGTGGGTATTTTTTTTTAATATTGCAAATCGAATAAACTTTATCAATAGTTATACAATATCGAATGCAATTAATGAGAAAAATAATTATCAAAACAAAACAAAAAACGGAATTGATATTAATAGAATAGTAGTAACATAGATAAACAAATGTAATTAATTACAACATGTACAATACACATAATTATTCAAAATAAAAACAAAATGTAATTAGATAAATTAGAAATCCCTACCTTTACGGATTTGAAAGTTAACATACGTCGGGGTATTATCTTGTCTCTCAAATGCCATCATACTTAAATCAATCCCCTTTTCCTTTTCTATTTCCCGACACACTTCTATACTCAAGAATTTTAAGTAGTATATCCTTTAAAAGTTAATTATGAAATGGACATCTTCCTGTATATGATATACTTGTAACCTCCTCAAAGATAATATCGAAATTCAGTATTAAAATTCCTTAGTTACGTTCAGCACTTACGCAAAGAGCAGTTTTCATTAAATATGAGATTTTTTTTCTGTACGTATAGTCTGAATGATTGTTATAAATAACTCATAGCATATTTTGCATTCCAACGACTTGCGCTATGATAATGAATACACAACTACATCAACACTGATAATCAGACTTTTATTTGTTTATTCTTCATATAAATTTCTTCTGAAGAAAATTCTGAAGAAAATGGTATCAATATTTATTTATTCAAGCCCATGAAGACATTGAAATAAAATATTTTAAACACGCAAAAGCATTGTAAGATATTACACAATTTTTCTTCTATCCAACAAAGCTATTAAGCTATACCTTACCCCTTATCAATAATAGTAAGTTTTTATTACCTGGTCAAAACCCTTATTTGTCGTAACACTAAATAAAATGTCTGTGGAATTTGGTTGTTTTCACATACAATAAAAGGATAGTATGGATGAATTCACATACTATTTTGAAGGTTAAAACTATAAATCAAATCAGGTCCTTTGGCAATTTTACAACAATACAACCACTACTTGAATAAGTTTAGGAATGTGGCTAGATGCCTTTCCAGTTCAATATTTAATATTTCTTTTCATAAGTATGTATTTATTGTGCATTATGTACCGACATGTCCTTTTAATGTTCAATTTAAGGCTTGGCACTTGCTCAAAAACTCGAATTTTTTTATTATTACATTTAATAAGTTTTATGGAATGTAAATACGAAACCTTTCAAGAATTTAAATTATCTGAAAAGCTTTGATTTAATATAAGAGATAATATATTTCGGTAATGTTTGATAGTACATTGACATTCATGCATTGAGTATTTAGTGGCCATAAATTAAAACTGTTTTTGAAGTTGAAGAGCGAATAGTTATGAGATAGAGAATAACACATACACATCAATAAATAAAAATTAAAAAAAAACAAGCAAAAGTATATATACGGAACTTATTATAATAAAAAAAACAAGCAAAAGTATATTGTATTCGGAACTTATTATAACAAGAGGGAAACATTAACCGTGAAAACGCATATAATCAGTTATAAAAAGAAAGATATAAATCTGGTATAATTAAAACTGTTACCAATTTTCCTTTATAGATACAAAGATTTGGTTAGGAAGTATGACTGAACTGTAGAATTATTACTAAAAACGGGACATCTTATCCTGTTTTTTTACGGTGATGTTGTTTATAGAGCCCGTAATTTTAGATATGATCCACGTAAACTCATGGATCCTTTGAATTAACCTATTTCTAAAGGTAATCAATTTAACACAGTAGTAAAATCTTTAAATATTGTTTTTTTTATCGGTACTGACATTGATTTTGTTTTTGAAAAATTAAAACATAATTAAATATACAGTTTAAAGTTATGAGAACCCATGATCCTACTTACTGTCGATACTGTTTACTTATGTTTTGGCATTGCACAAGGTCATATGTTTCTCAGACTGTTTACGACGACTTAACAGTAAATCCGTTGGATATGCACTGATTGATATTCGTGTTGCTCAATCTTAAGTTGTCTGTCAGGTTTTTTTTTTACCATTGTTAGTCTTCTGTAGTTTTCTTAAAGCCATGGTGTTGTCTTTTTTCCTTCGATTTATGATTTTTGATTACCCCTTGGTATCTTCTACCCTTTTAACGTCTATTAAAGTCTCGCCAATAATTGGTTAACTCTTTGCTTACAGTTTCATCAAGCACACACATGTTTTTTCTTGGAAAACAGTTTTTAAAAAAATACATTTATAGGCTGTGTTCCCGGACTGGAGCTGTATTTCAAGACCTCAAATTATACTTTCTAACTAATAGTATCAGGTTCTGTCCTTGGTTAACATTGTTCTTAGAGAAAAAAAAACCCAAACAAAACAGATGTAATTTCGAACTTTGCCAATAACAGAATAAACATTTCAATCATTTGGCCTCACCCTCCATGGATCCGTAGGCAGTCAGTAGCAAACGATATAACATATAATATTATAACGTATACAGAAATTCTCGATTGCAGTTATTGGAATCAAGATCAAAATACTTAACCTTCTGAGAAAATGAATCATGCTGTCATACTCTCTTATATCGATTACTGCATACCCTGCCGCCCTTCACTCTTATATCGATATTACTGTAAATCATACCTTCCTACCCTCTAATATCGATTATGCCGCCCTACTCTCTAATATCGATTACCAGGGGCGGGTCCAGGATGTTAGGTTATAAGGATAAAAGGGGGGGGGGGGGGCACAAACTTAAATTTTCGCCGAGTGGATCGAGGCGAAAATGTTTTTGAGGGAAACATATCGAAATATTCTTTATTAAGCTGAAGACAACCCATGCCTTGCAAATTTTAAGGGGGAGGGGCGCACGCCCGCCACACCACCGCCTGAATCCGCCCATGATTACTGTATATCATGCCGTCCTACACTCTTATATCGATTACTGTAAACCATGCCGTCCTACTCTCTAATATCGATTACTGTAAACCATGCCGTCCTACCTACTCTCCTATATCGATTACTACATGTAAATCAAGTCGCCCTACACTCTAATGTCTGTAACTGTAAACCATGCCGATCTACTCTCTAATATCGATTACTGTAAACCATGCCGCCTTACTCTCTAATATAAATCAAGGTAAACCATGCCGTCCTTCTCTCTAATAGCGATTACTGTAAATCATGACTTCCTATACTTTGATATCGATTACTGTAAACCATGCCGTCCTACTTTCTAATATCGATTACTCTTATATCGACTACTGTAAGCCATGACGTCCTACTCTCTAATATCGATTACTGTAAACCATGCGTCCTACTCTCTAATATCGATATTACTGTAAACCGTACCTTCCTACCCTCTAATATCGATTACTGTAAATCATGCCGTCCTACACTCTAATATCCATTACTGTAAATCATGCCGTCCTACACTTAAGGGCATACGATACACAGGGGAGGTAATGACGTTGTCAATGTAAAATGTTACTTTTTCGCGACGTCAAACTCCGACATATCGGGAAAAGATGCATTTTTCGACTTATTTTTATCATTCAGACTGATATAACTTGAAAACGAGTTCATGGGCGCCTCTTTCTTAAAATGACATTAGAATTGATTACGTATGAAGATTATTTGTACCAATTTTTATGAAAAAGTCACCGATGGGATTTTTTAAAATTAGATAAGTATACAGCAAAAAATTCCGTTTTTTTCCTAAAATCCTGAAACTTTGATAAAAATAAATTATTACCAAAGAATTGTTATATAAATTTAGAGCATACTTATGTAAAAGAGAATTTCCAAATGTTTTTACAAAAAAGTTAGGTATGTCTATCCAAAGGATAGAAATGTTCCAAAAAACGAAATTTTGAGTAAATGTCTAAAATTTCGACCCCATTTATCTCTTAAAGTAGCACATGAAGGTATATTTTTTATTACATATTTGCATTGACTAGGTGAAAAATAGCTTGTATGCAAATTTTCGTAAAAAAATCACCGTGGGATCAAAACTGTTACGTATGCCCTTAAACATTGTACTTTATAGAAGATTTCATACAGCGACGTCGTAAACAGCCCAAGAAGACACGACCTTGTGCAATGCCAAGAGCAAACTGTGCAGAATTCCAAAGCAATAAAACAAAAGAAACATATTAGTATTGGTCCAAAACCAATATCATTATACTGATTTTAATGAGATTGTGTCCAAGCTATAAATTAACAAAGTATAGTAATTTTCTAAAAAAAAAATAACTGATTGAAAAACCAATCGTTTATCAATGGGTTCTATTACGCCAAAGAGAAAGAAAAAAAAAACAAATCTTAAACTTGTTGCTTTCTTATGAATATAAACGTAAAATGCTGGGCACAGAATACTTTTTGGTCAGATTCCTACAGTTGGAATCATACATCCATACATCTGTTGTTAAATGTAGTTAACTTTAGAATTAAATAAGAATTAAGAAAAAAATATCACAAAGAAGGCTAACAAATCAAGAAACACGAACATAGATAAATTGAATGACGTCAACCAGTCAAACCTTTTTAAAACAGAAACGCGCAACATTTAACAAAATGTAGAGAAAGTTAATGATCGTGAGAATTTTATCTTATTGAAAGTAAACAAATTGAAAAAACGTCATGAAGCGTAGTTCGTCTACATAACACACTCATCAGTAGCTCTTGCCATGATAAAAATAGTTGGAAGACCAAATCATTAACGAAGTTAAAAATCATTAAAACCCAAAACCCGAAACCCAAAGAAGTAGTATTACTTCTTTTTGTTGCAAACAGCTTGGTTAAAATCTTAAGTTAATAATATGTTTGAATTAAAAAGACGGGCTGTGAAATGAATAAAAGCATAAAGAAATGGTAGCCTGTTTACAGTAATTACTTTACACAATACAATTTGGATATGCCATTAAAATAAAAAGCAGATAAAACCAAAGCAAAAGTAATATTCAAAACAACAGATATTTTTTAACGAAATATGTTTCATTAGTAACACTTGTTATTCTAAAACTGAAACATAATTTGAGTATGCATTAAAATGAAATTATGTATGAGCCTCAAACAAAGATAAATGAGAGAAATGATCGTGAAATGGTCAAGCAGTGCGATCGGATCGTGAAAGATCTGGTATTGGATCGTGAATGCAATTAAGCGTAATTCTACTTCAAAATCTATGAAAAATCTGGTGTACTTTCAAAAGGTGGAACAAATCAGAAAAAAAATTATGTCTGTCAAAATTATTCAACTTCCTTGATAATACTGTGCACTAAGTTAAAGAAAAAACGCAGTACTTTTGAATAAAACACAAAAGGCGACACGCAATCCTATGAGAATCATTAAGACTTGGATTAAGAATATTTCAAGCAACTTTTACTCAGAATTACTGGAAAATAAAATAAATAGTTTAAACGAAAATAACAAACTTTTTCGTTATAAAAGCATTAAAGTAAACCAAGACCAAGAATTTTATCTTAAATATCCAAATTTTGAAACTAGACGTTTATTTACAAAAATTAAAATAAGTGACCATAATTTACTTATAGAAAAGGGCCGATATCTGAATATACATCAAAACCAAAGAACATGTCTAACTTGTAAAACCATAGTAGTTTAAAACCACTTTCTCCTCTACTATCAAAATAATAAAATATTACGTTTTAAACTTTTTAATGACGTCGCAATAGATAATCCTCTATTTTCAAATCTGTCTGATATTGAAAAACTGGTAGTCCTGCTAAATTCTTCAAATATAAACCTAGTGAAAAAAACAGGTTCCTTTATGAAACAGTCTTTAGAGCTGAGGACAGGGG